TTAACCCATAAGTTGCGTGTAGTGCTGAATTTAGTAAACCAAGTTTCGCTCGAATTGTTTTTAATCCTGATTTTTTATCACTACGTGATGTATTCACATTATCAAATACTCGAGCCATTTTAGATACTAAACCCTGGAGATATGACATCGATTCAGGAGAATTCATGCGTGTTTTGACATCTTCAGATTTATATCTGACTCTATCATCGATATCTCTAGCTGGTGTGCAAATTCTTAATAATTCTAAGCATATTCAATGCCTCTCAGCTCGGGTTGCAATTGTAAGTCTATCTTCTCTGTAATCTTTACGGGATATAGCAATAACGGCCGTTTCATTGTTAGTACCAGCATCTCGTAATTGTTTATAAGCCTTAAACCATTTCATGTGATTGTAATTCCCATACTTTGAGATGAAATTCTCAGTTAATGATTCAGGCAAAATCTCATAACAATCCACAATATGATGCCGGTCTAAAGAACGCATCTCTTTTAAAGTCTTCTTTGGTTTATTTTCCAATAATTCGGCAGTCTCACGATTGACAATAGTAGCATTAGATACATCTGCTATCTCCTCCGCTTTAATGATAGAGGAATTCGCCTTCACTATTTGGGATAATGACATTGTAGTATCTTCAGATTTAGGAATGAATTCCATGACAGAAATTACCATACCTGCATTTTAGAGAAAATCAACCATTCTCCAACCAAATAAGCGCTGGGGACAGAATCTTTCCAACATATAGGTCACCCATAAATGAACAGTTGGTATGTCCTTATTCCGGATGATAGAATCTATATCTGGAAATATTCCTCTATTCTGAAATTCCCAGGGAAGACATTCGCGTTTGGCATTCAATAACCATTGGAATAATCCTTTCTGTGACTGGAACGTTAGAAGATCTCTACTCAATATGACATATATAATCTTTAATGCATCGCATACAGAATAGCATCTGATTTGTTCCAGCATTCGTTTCTATATAGCTGTTAAAGATGCAGAATGCTCGTTCAAATTTAGGATTGGTGCAAGATACTCCTATCTTTAAAGTACTAGTATAGGCAACTAGGTCTACGTCTTTCCATGATTCTTCTACATTGCTGAAGTCATGAGCCTTTTTCACTGGATCAGATTTACCATGATATTTCTTAATTTGCAATTCTGAAAAATCAGTCTTAAGGGCGCGAACTACCCCTTGTACATCCTTTCTGAGGTGACAGATAAGTGATGCACTTTTTCAACTTTCAAAAGGTAATAAAGACATTTGTTTAGCCCAATCCCAAAGTTCGGCTAATACTGTCTTTTTATTAGGGGCTAGGCGGAATGTCTTACCTTTCTGAGGTTGGAAAGTGTTGTGGATAATAGAAAAAGATATACCTTTGCGAAGAGCCTTAATCCATTCAACGTTGAGGTCAGTTAGGTCATATCCATTACAATAATACGCCTAGCCTCTTGGATTAATTTATATAATTTCTCTATTGACTGCCCGGCTAAATAACTCTGTGCCTGAGCAATTATAGAAACTATTTCATCAAGCCATAAGTCATATTGTATTGGGGAACATTTACATTTTTTACTACATTTGCATTTGTTAGTAATGCGATGTAAGCTCTCTATCTGACAAACTACTCTCTTATGATCAGGTAGATTTATATTACTATCAATATCGCAATATGACTTAAGATTAAGTCTCGTAATAACAGCGTTCGAATAAGAATGACACGTAGATAATACTAGCAAATTTACATCATTAGGGATAGTCAAATTTTCAAGAATATAGGTTTTTCCCGTTTTCCAAGGTGACCCTATATATATATCGCCTTCGTTGGGTAATGGTCTTACATATCTCTCCTCATATGTTTCTGTCGCTATAAGGGGGTCATTATACTTGGCCCAGGATAGGAATTTTATGAAGGCTTTAGGGAAACCTGAACCTTTTAGTTTCCTTAAGGGAACCTGTGGTAAATTTTTATTTTTTGTAAAATTTTTTCCGCAATAGATAGGTCGCATTCAAAAACTTCTCCAAGTTTATCACTATCTTGCTGGAAGCATTTTACGAGGAATTTCCCATTGCTAGCATATACACGACTGAATCATCGCTGATCTTTGTTATGTATACGTTTACATTGTAGACATTCTAGTGGAACTTTCCGGTTAAAATATACAAAGTTTTCTGAGTCCTTTTCTTCAATAGTATAATCCCTAAGATAATTAGAATATTTTTGTAAAACAAGATCTGCGCATTTTTGTAGTATATTATGACCTACGATTAACTTTAGTGGACTATTATTTTTTTTTATGCTAAGCATTCTAGGTCTTACTTCGAGACCCAAATTAGAAGGTGGTTAAACCCTAGTGCAGTATTGTCATGGGACATTGATGGGACACTGATGGGACGCTGATGGGACATAGATGGGACAGATAAGACCTTTGAGACATAGTGTGGAACAGGTTGGGACATATAGCTGGGATATATAGCTGGGACAACAAATCTCTGGGACATCAAGAATGTACATCACTGCCCTAGTGTGATCGAGTTCATTCCAGCCATTAGTTATCGAAGATAATAGGATACGCTTCACACGACCTTTTTTTGTTGAACCGATTAGACGAAGGTTAAAGTTTTGATCAGATAATCCTCTATCAATAAACCTGCTGAATTTTTCACCTGTCAAGGTGTATACCAATTCTGTGAACGCTTTAAGCTCATTATGGTCAATAAGAAACATCAGAGCGTATAAAAGATGGTAACTACATTTACTAGAGTCTGATAATGTAGCAATTACTAATCCTTTAAGAATGTCTTCCCAGTCGTAGTCAAGAATTCAGTACAAAGCTCTTATGAAAGAGCAACAGATTCGGATGAATACACTGTCAGACTTAACTCCATTTACTTCCATATCTTCCTGTATAGCATCGATATTGATTACAACCCTTAAAGGTTTTTACCCGTTAATACATTCGTGAATTCCAGGAAGACCATATACTTCTAAGATATCATCTGCAACGGAAAATTTTGGGATCTGATCATCTTGATCGATTTTGATAACCAATTTATTTTCAACTTCATCCCGGTCATAGGCGTTATACAAGCAGGAGCCTTTTTTGTTCAGAAAGAGAAATGAATAGATTGAGAGATATTCTAATAACCCCTTTTCATCTGACATATTTCTAGGTGATGATAGGAAAATTTCTCGAATGGCATGTAGCAAGTCCTTGGAAGAAAAATTATCATTAAACTTTTCCTGCCTTAAAGTATATGCCACATTAATCTTTTGCTCGTTTACATTTGGTGGTTAAACCAATGGAGTCTTGATAGTACTGGTTGAAGTGCAGGGAGCTTCTTCATTATCTGACTCATAATTAGACTCATAGTCATTATAACTATCTGACTCTAAGTCAGATCTATTATCAGTACAACTGCTTGAGTCACTTAAATATTCATCGAACTCAGCACTGTCATAGTGGGCGAGAGTTCCAATGTGATCAGTTTGGTCAGAAATAGTTGAGGTATGCATGATAATAGTTCGAAAAGATATACTAACTCTATAAAATTCAGAAATATTTAATTATTTTTTTTCAGAGGGTGTAGAAAGAAGCTATAGCAAATTTAGTCAGCAAATCGAAAATGAAAGGCTTCTAGATATATACTTTTAGATGGGGGTTTCTTCAGAATTATTATATAAAATATTGGAAGAAGCCCCTATCGAGATAGTATGTACTCAGGTATGGTGTAGCCTTCTGCGTAATCTATTATATAAATATTGGCAGAAGGCTACACTTTTCTAGATATGTATTCAGGTATGTTATAAATAGGCCGGCCACAATAATACAAATCGCAGATAGATAGATTCTTAATAGGTAATACTTAGGGTATTCTTCTCTATAATTATTATATAAAAATTGGAAGAAGAATACCCTAATACTAGTATGTAGTTGGGTATAATATGACATTTAGGGTAGGTAACTTTGTAATCTATTATATAAATATTGGAAGATATCTACTCTAATACTAATATATACCCAGGTGTGGCATAAAGGCTACATCTTGATGGTATAAATAGGCCGGCCATGATAATACATAGCGCACCTCTAACTTCAAGACGCAAAATTGGCATAAATATACCAGCAACTAATGGGCAATAGTTGGGTTGTAAAATGGCATTAGCTTTGATTTTTCAAATTGTATACCTTTCTCGAATATAGCGAAATAAGACATGCAGAAAGCGATATAATCCAAGGCTAGTATTGAGAAAAAGAGCATAAAAGTAGTATAGCCAGATCTGATTAGGCATACACTGATTCCAGATCATCTAGAAGGATTTCTCGCATATCATTCAAAATTTCCAAAGTGCTCTGATCATTAACACTATTAACGGAGTTCTCAATTCAGTACTCCAATTTGTGATCATTTATAAAATGAATGTATTTATTAAATATTTTCACGAGGGTCACCAACTCGGCAACCAAGCTCAGTATGCCCACAGCATACCCTATATTTTGACATTCTGGTAGGCAATAAAATAGGTAAAGAAGGAAAGCACCCTCGACATACAACCAGGTATCCAAACACTTACGGAAGGCCAACAACCT